CCACACTGCAGCCCACGGGGGACCCCAGCTGCAGCAGGTGGAGGTGCCCTGAAGGGAGCTGCAGCCTGTGGAGTGCCCACGCAGGAGCAGGTTTTCTGGCAGGACCTGCAGCCCGTGGAGAGGAGCCCATGCTGGAGCAGGTTTATCCTGAATGACTGCAGCCCGTGAAGAAGACCATGCTGTAGCAGTTCATGAACAACTGCAGCATGCGGGAGGGACCCCCGCTGGAGCAGTTCATGAAGGACTGTACCCTGTGGCAGGGACCCCACATTGGAGCAGGGGAAGAGTGTGAGGAGGAAGGAGCAGCAGAGAGGAGCTGTTATGTGCTGTCCGCAACCGCCATTCCCCGTTCTCCTGCACTGCTTGGGGGCAGGGGAGGTGGAGCCTGGGAGGGAAACAGGGAGGGTGGGAAGGTGTTTTAGTTTTAAACTGTTTCTCACCATTCTACTCCAATTTTTAGTTAGCAATAAAGTAAACTAATTTTCTCCAAGTTGCGTCTGTTTTGGCTGTGATGGCAATTTGTAAGTGATCTCCCTGTCTTTATCTCGACCAACCAGTTTCTTCTCTTATTTTCTCCCCGTCCTGCTGAGGAAGGAGTGAGAGAGCGGCTGGCTGGGGGTCTGGCAGTCACCCAAAGTCAACCCACCACACTCAGGTAAACTGGCCCGTAAAAAAGGCCAGGAAACCATACGGAAACCTTTGGAACAGAACGATGCCAGCACACGAAACAGTAAAATGGCCAACAAGCTTCAGACAATCTATTTCCATTTCTTGCCAACATCTGAATTTAACTTAAGTTACAGTGATTTGCAGTGCTTCGGTTTTCCAATTTAGAAAATGGGAATAAATCAAATCTCACAGTACTCTATAAGTATTCTTTGAAAAGTGCTCGACTAAAGCCGGGGAGAGAGAAGTGCTCTTGTCCTTGCAGGAGCTGCTTTGCCACAGCAATAGCCAGTCTTGATTTCTGAAGAATGAAAGGTGAAAAGGCAGGCAAATTTGCAGCGCTGCTGCTGGGAATCTCAAAATGCTTCAGCGAATAAACACCCTCATTCTGCAGATGAAGAAACATCCCTTTAAACTCCAGAGCCTCCTGAAATCAGACTGGGGGGAACAGGGCCTACCTCCGCCGTGCAAACTTCCCCTGGCCCTCGGACGTCTCCCACCAGCGACGACGCCCCCCGCCCCGGCCCTCCCACGCACCTCCCCTCTCCCCCTCGCCCCCCTCGCCGCCCCACGGGCGAGCC